AGCCAGGTGGGTTCTAATGTGGGTAGTTAAGGGTGGGGTTGGTGTGAGGGAGTGGTGAGCTTTCCCTGGAAAGTCCCCTAGGTGGGAAAATRGCGGCTGTCACTTAAGATGGCTGCCCAGATGCTAAGTAATGACCTTACAAAGGGTATGACAGACAGGTGGTTTCTCAGGAGGGAAGCTGAGGTTGRTGTTGGTGAGGTGGGAGCAGACAGATGGCAAAGTGAAATTGTGTGGGGAGGGGAGTTCACATCTGGGTCGGAGGAAAGCTGTGTGTGTGGGGAAGGAGAAAATCAGGAGATGTGGTGGTGTGCAGAAGAGCGACAGTGAGACATTTTAGGAAGAACATAAGCATGCTTGTTCCCTAAGCCACAAAGATTCAAGAAGAGGAATCCTGAGGGAAGGGCTTGTGACAAAGAAAAAATCCTGAATGCCCCTGGGATAGGTACAAATCCACCTTGTTGAGTTCTATTTGGCATATGTCTTAATCACCTGGATTTTCCTCATGTTTTCCTGTGACAGAGAGCACACCACTCTCAGTGATCTGTATAACATCTCCTCTGTCAAAGGTGTTTTCTTATTTGCTGGTCCTTGTCACTTCCTGCCTATTTTGTCTCTTGACTTTCTCTTACAGTGTTGTAGGGACAAAAGGAAAGGCACCAAAGATAGCAGGAAACAGTTTTATTTGGCTGCAGCCAGGTTCAGGGGGCACAGCTTTTGCTGTAATCAATTAATCCCCTGAACCCTGAGTTCAGGAAATTTCAGAGTTTTATACCCAGCATGTAAGGGGAGGGGCCCAGAATTTCATAGTCTGCAGAAGTTCACATAAAAGCAGCTTTTTCTTTCACTGTTCTGGACAAGTTAACTCTTCAAGGACAACACCTGAGAAAGGGGGAACTTCTTCTCCCCTTTCTTTCCTCCCCCTGCCAGCTGTTACCATGGAACCCAATTGTAATTTATCTTAAAAATGTAGGCATCTCGGGCTGGGGATATAGCTCAGTTGGTAGAGTGCTTGCCTTGCATGTACATAGGCCCTGGGTTCAAACCCCAGCACCACAAAAAAAAAAAATGTAGGCATCTCTGTGAATCCCAGCTCAAGGCCAGAGGCCTTGTTTGCACATTTCTTCAAAGTACTATACTGGATATGTTTGTGAAAAACTAGTAAGGGGTGTCCATCACTTGAAGTCCTGGTATCTTCCTGGTCAGTGACCAAGTAACACTGGGCAACAGGAAAATAGGAAGTTTTTCTACATTGGACTCTTTTGCAGAGACTCTTTTGCTGATAGTCCTAAAATCAGCCATGGTGGAGAGGGCTTTTCTGTGGAGAAAGGGGGTGTCACTTCAACAGTGTTCTTCTCTCTCAGCTCCCCCAGCTCTCAGCATCCCACAGGCAGCTCCCAATGGTCTCCATCCTTTCCTCTCTCCTCCTCAGACCTTGTCTTTCACCCTCCACAGCTGAGAGCTCACTCAGGGGTGCAGTGGCCTGGGGAGCTGCAGATCCTCAGTGGGACTCTGACCCAAGCACCAGCTGCTACCTGCATCCTCACCAGGAGCCACTCTGCCAGAGGACAGTCAGGGGGAAAGAAACTTTGAATTCTTGTTCCACTCCCTTTATGCATCCCTTGTTATGGTTTAGGTATGAGGTGTCCCCCAAATGCTCATGTGTGAGGCAGTGCAAGAAGGTTTGGAGGTGAAATGACTGGGTCATGAGAGCCTTAACCCTATCCATGCATAAATCCCCAGACAGGGACTAACTGAGTGTAACTGTGGGCTGGTAGGTGTGGCTGGGGAGGTGGGTTCCTGGGGGT